TAAGGACTGCAGATTTTGGGACAAAGTCCAAGTTTCCGTTGAAATCCAAGTTGGATTGGCATTTGGTCTCCAAGTTTGTATTTGCAGGCTCTTTTATGGCATTTCTTTGGGCATGAAGCGGCTAAAGAATATGAAACAGTAATTTTTCTTCCAGATATTTCAGCATTCTTTGTTGTCTCAAAAGCTTCAACTGCATGTTTTTCCTGTATGTAACTGATGGTAGCATTTGGATGTACAGGTGATAAATTCAGAGTTATCTGAGATGTTTTCGAAAAAGTTCGGCAATTTGAAAAATCGTAGTGTCAGCTGGAATGTCAGAGATAAGTATTTTTCTTGAATTATGTTTCTGTTCTTTGGGAGTTTCTGCATTTTTAGCAGGTTTTTCTCGTTTGCTTCATCAACACATCCTTGTTCAAATTGATTCAGTTGATTCTGCCCAGTTTCTTTATTATTCTTCACGATTGGATCATCATCATCATTAGCTTCATGACTGTCATCATCATTATCATCGTCGTTGTCATCATCATTAACATCAACATCATGAGGTAAAAAATGCCCTGTGTCAATATTATCAGTTACCTTTTCAACTATATTAAATTTTTCCCATTCCCGGAAAATCGTACTATATTCTTCTAAAAATGCTTTATCTTGTGCTCACAGGCACATCCTTTTATGCCGCTTTTAAGTTAAATCTTTATTTGTCGCCAAATCGGCCATATCAAATTTAAAAGGTAAACAAAGTTCATATCTACCGTCTCAAAGAATTTTCACATTATTTTTAAACTCTTCCAAAACTCTAGAATGATCTAAATTCTTTTTATTATTTTCTATGGGATCTGAAATTTCTATGGATTTTAAAGACAATAAATCCTTTATCGAATAATTACTAACATACAACGAAATTGCATTAAAAACAGTATCATCACTGCTATCTCCAAATGACTTATGCTTCCCAGTTAATACATGTCCCAAACAAGTCTCAATCAAAAATAACCCTGACTCTAACTGAACAGATTTATTAGTAAATAAAGCACCGGCAATATCCGCTCCTAAAAGCAGACCGATCTCATGATCAGAAGAACCCAAATCAGACAAACTGACGCCTCTTCAGTTCATTATGAATTTTACTATCGTTCACTTTTGGCACTGTGTCACAAATTTTGCTCTCTGATAGTGCTTTGATTTGAAAGGAGAAAGTTTCATCTAATGCCGAAGAGAGCAAATTATAAACAATGTGAATCTGCTTTTGCGTTTCTCTTCCCCCGAATAACGAATGCTTCAATTTAATTTGCCTTAATGGTTTTAAATTTAAATTCTCTACTAATTTTTTACTGACATATGAATGCTGAGAAGCTGTAACAGTAATCTGCGTACTAACGTAAGATCAACGTTCTTAAATTTAATTTTAACCTTTAGAGTCATTAAATAAACATTTTCTATTCTGCAGTTATTAGTTAATGTGCTGGTTCTTCTAGACTTTTCAAGCGCAGCTGCAGTGGCGGATTCTAGATTTTTATTTAGTGTATCCTTTTTCTTAGAAATATGATCTGAACTAAACCCAGTGTGGGCTAACATGACCATTTCTTCTCCTTTCACTTCTTGTTTCAGAAAATTCATCAAATTTTCAAGGCATCGATCATCAGGTTGAGGTCCTTCTTTTAAATTTCTGTTTTTCTCCGAAGCAATTAATACTTTTTCAGACAGGCAGGATTCAACTAAAGGCGTTAAGAAATCACCGTACTTCTCTTGAGTTCTTCCAAGACTTTCTAAAGCTCTAATCTTGGTTTCTTAATCATCGTAGAGAGTAGGAAAATTTGTCTTCACACGTCCACTGCATGCATTACGTATAACCATGCTTAGAAGATCTCTGACATATATCTGTACACGTAAATCTTCTCTTCCAAACCTCTCTCAAAGCTGGGTGATTGCTTTCGGTTAATTCAATGTTGTTGCCGGAAAGCTCTCCTTTACCCATGCGGCTTTGGACTGAGGAACAACTGCTTGCAGAAGGTACTGAAATTTATCTTCATCTGGAATCATCGAATCTTCATGGATCTTCGAAAACTGGCTCCAAAACATCAAAAATTCTTTTGCTTCGCTGCTGAATTTCTTTCGATCTTCGGCAGTTTAAATTTGCTTTTCTCTGGTAATTCAGTAAGTAAAGGATTCTTCAACAGCTTTTCGATTTGAGAACACAGTTCAAAATATTTATCTTTATAAGGCTCAGACGAAATAAATCTTTTTCATATAACTTTTCAGCATCTTTAGATTGAAAAATTATTGATGTTATTTCCTTTTGGCAAAATTCAAGTCGATTAAACTTGTCTTTAAGCTATAGTTCCAGAACCGAAAGTAACTTTAAATCGGGAATATCTGATTTCAGTTCTGCATCAATTTTGTTTGCACACGTAGTAAAGGAAGTTCTTAGACATTTCTGTTCAGTTTTCAGCTGTGTAAGCTTCATTTAAAATTTATTTTAGCTGTTATCGCACTCTACATTTTGGTGCCACAAATGTTATGTTACGTACGGCGTTAGGTTTCAAACAATGGCTAGCTCAGAAAGGATTCATAAGTCATCTACCCGATGAATTAACAGCTATCTTATCATAAATGGAGCAGTTCAGATCTTTTAAACTTAAGAAAACAGCTTTATGTACAAGTTAAATGAATAAGAAATATCTATCTAGCTACATCGTGCAAACATCGTCCTTAGCTATCTGAACCGAGACTCCTCGTTTCTCCCTGGCATCCCACGATGCCAGTCTCTATCTGGCCTTTGATTCGTTGGCATAGTGATGCCATTACCAACAAATGGTCTTGGTATTATTTCAAAATGCCACATTTCATGAATTTAGATGCTATGATACAAAATATATGGCTATAAATACTATAGTATGTGAGTAACAGGCTCATTTTCCAATAAATTTATCTCTATTTTGTTTTTATGTCAGGTAAAGCATTTAATTGATTTTTATAAACTGCTTATTGTATTTGTTAATGAGATTTTCCATAAATTCCAATGGATATCTATTATAACTTGCAGTCTATGTGATTCACTGTACCGTGTGCTTTATGTAGCTTGGGTGGAGGTCAGAATATGTAAGTGCCTTTTCAGGTTAAAATAGAAAGTGGGATTCTGAGCAAAAAGAGATAGATGATGAGAAAAGAAATAAGGAATTACTACTGTGTTAATGCTTGGTGTATAATACAGTCAAAAGTCGTTAATCCAGACTCGTCGGGACTTCGGCGATTCCGGATTATAGATCATCAGTTTAAATCTGGTAAGATGATGGCATGCAGAAATTATAAAATTAAAAATATGAAACCATAATTTATGAAATAAAGAACAATTATCATCTAAGGGGTATCAAAATTTACAAAAACAAAAAAGCTTAATATTTATTTGTTTACTTTATTAAACATTTCTTTCAATGCAAGTTGTTTAAGTTGCTTCGTTTTTTATGTGATGATACATTCTCTTTAATTCTATAAACAGACATAATTTCTTGTTCAGTTACAAAGTTCTGCTGTTCAAGTCCTATAATTGCTGTGTCGAGAATACCGACTAATTTGTCAATCGAAATATTTTCGTTTTCAATAACCTCTGTCACTTTCTTCATTATCGGAAGAGAATTATAATGACGAGAAATTTTATTTAAATCATATCAAAGACGGAGTACATCGAGATGAAATACTACATTTAGTAAGGAATTATAAGCCAAATAAAATAAAAACATCTGCCCTGAAGATAAGGATAGTGCTGACAGATCAACTTCCAATTCATTGCGTGCTGCGGCGTTAAAGATAAACAAATTTTAGATAAACAAAGGATATGCCTTTATCCATTTATTGCAGCAATTCCACTTTTTGTTTAATGGACTTCGAAACATACTTTCGCTTTGTAGATCCTTTACATATTAGTAAATATATATCAGAAATTCTATTTGACATAATCGAAAGTTCAAGCTTACTTTTATAAAACTGCTGTCTGCAAAAAATAATAAGCCGAATCCAATTCGAAGATTAAGGAACAACACTATCTGCAACATTAACTGAATTAGATAATTTTAGCTTAGCTTATACCGTCCGTTATACATTAAACACTCATTCGTAAGCTTATTTTGCGCGCATGCATATTCGCAGCCGTAAAGGTCTTACGCGCATGCGTCAGCGCGACGCATGCGCAGAAAGTTTGTAGCTTTGAGGTCCGGATTATAGATCATTCCGGATTATGGGTGTCCAAATTAACGACTTTTGACTGTATTTATTTATTTATTTATATCACTATACTTTAGTGCTTTGCTAACTAAAGAAAAGACTATAAATAATAAATAAACGTATAAAAAAATAAAAATCAGTTATCCTCATTGACCTCTCTAAGTGTACCAAACAGATAAGCTGAGTTAATAAAGCCTCTGAAACAAAACTTTTTTAACTTCTTGTCATAACTTTTATAAATTATAATCCAGTTTCACTGATTGGAATTTTTTTTTTTTTTTTTTTTTTTTTTTTTTTTTTTGCTATAAAACTTTTGTGTTAGAATAAGGAATAAATTTCAGCAGAGTTTTGAACTTTCTTTCGTCATAAAAATTAAGCTTATGTGCTTGTGAGCTTTATTTATTTAAAAAAAAAAAAAAAAATATCGTGCCAGAGCTTTCATAAAATGGGACTTCGCAGATTGGGATATGACTGTATGTTTTCAGTTAGTATATTTTGTCAAAATTGCATTTCACACTATTTTATTTATTTAGTTTATATTGTTGTTTCATTAATAATTTATAGTTGTAGTTTTTTAAATTTATTTATGAATTTTTACTAATTTCAAATGTTTTTGAAATTTTTATTACATGTTAATAACATGTGTTTTCATTTAATTCATTTTCCTTTTTATCTATGAAAAGAAAGTACTGAACAGTATGTTTGATTATTTTAATAGAATTATTCCTAATTATCAAACTGCTTATTTTTAAATAAGTAATGAATTAATTTTCTCCTTTTAGGCATTACATAAAAATTAATATTACTCAACAAAGAACCAAGATGTTGAAAGAAAATAGTCCAGTTTCTAGAGGCAACAGCAGTCTTAAAAATTGGACTAATGTTCAGAAGTGGGGGAAAATGGCTTACTATCAGATGCTTCCATGTGTCAGAAGCCAAAACTATAGTAAAATTGTTATGTTTGATGTAATTTGCTCTTTTTCATGTTTATTTTTGTAAAAAATATGTTATGATACAGTCAAACCCTACCTAAAATGAATGAGACATTTGGTTCCATGCAGTTTCCTATGCATTTAATGTTATTTTATTTTGTTACAGTGAACCTTCAAGAATGTGAAAATCAGATAAAAATGAACTGTATGATTATATGCTATTGAAATTTTATTTTGTATTTTTTCAGAATTTCTGGAAGTTTTAACCAAAAAAGTACTACCCCTTAAAATCATCCACATTTAGGATACTAGAATTCACATGCGTCCTTAAAAAAGAAAGAAAGAAAAAAAAAAAAAAAAACTAAAACCTTTATGTTTATTTTTCTTTCACCTTCACTCCTCCTTTTCCCTGTATTAAACAAAAACTATGTAAGGTGTGATATCCAGCCCTTGAAGAACAAGATGTAATAAACATATCTTATTCACCATATGGTTAGTGCTGGATATGCTTATTGTATCTTGAGTTCATTCAAAGTCTGTGTTCAAGGCTGATTTCATAATGGAAATTCTGAAATTGGTGCTGTTCAGGAAAAGAGGAAGTAGTTAATTTTATGAACTTGCATTTTTCCAGTTGATTCCTCACTTAGGGAATGAAAACTTTTGATCATTATTGATTTATTTTGTTTAAGTATAAAAGTTCTCCACATTCTATTCTCCAAATAAGGGTTTTGTGTTCTTTAGGTCTTTTGCAAGACATAGGTTATTCTTTACAAAGGTTGATGAATCCTTGTTTTGCAACAATACATATCTTAGTGGAACAGATTGTGTTTTCACTGGATATCAGATAACACATGTAGGTGATGAAATTGTTCCCCTTCCCCAGAAGAGACATTCTCTATTACATATTCTTTGATCAAACTTTCTACACTCTTGTTTCTGTGTCAAAAATTCATCTGCATGGTGAGCTAAATATAAAGTTTCCACATTCAAGATAATATGAACATTATTCAAAAAATTTAAAATGGATGAAGTCAAATCGACATCTGCAAGAAATTCAGTTTATCTAGATCTACAGTTGGTAACCATAAGAAAAAAAATCAAAATTAATTTCTGCTCATGGGAAAAAATGAGAAAGGTGGAGATAATGATAAAGAAGTATTACTGAAATGGTTTGCCATTCAGAGAAGAGATAAACTTCCAACATCTGGCCAAATGCTTTGGACAAAGGCCAATGAATTTCCCAAATGTCTTGAACGGAATGGTAAAGAATGAAAAACAAATTTAATTTTTGCACATAATATTAATTGCAATTAAATCTTAGTATTTTTTAATTAGGTTTATTATTCACTTCTTTGATAGATATGACTGTGTTAATCAGCTTTTTTTTTTTTTTTTTTTTTTTTTTTTTTTTTGTATTCATCATTCAGATTTTACATGTTTTTGTGAGATGGTCCATTTTTCTTATTGTATTGAATATTGAATCAAACTTGATCCCTTAAAGTTCATTATAATCGGGTTTGACTGTATATTGATAAAAAATTGTGTATTTTCAGAGATTAACACTCTGACTGCTCAATTTGTGGACCGAAATCACTTCCAAAATTGTGTATTTTTTCATTTGCATATTTTAATTCTATATATATTGGAGAATTGAAAAATGCACTTTTTCTTTCTAGAAAATATTTTTATATAGATTTTTATCATGAGAAACTAAGTTGCCGGAAAAACCAATTTCAGATGTTATCACAAAAAAAAAAAAAAAAACTTTTTTTAAATAAATTTCAGTCAAATTACAATTAATTTCTATTTATTGCATAATATAAAAAAGTAAAATGTATAAAATTTTAAAAAATATAAAGCGCTGAGGGAAAAATACCTTTAGAAATGCAGTTTAGTATGATAGAGTTCAAAACAGGGTTCAAGGCAAAGTCCAACTTCACAGTTAATAATTCAATAATTTAATTAAATAATTAAGATAATCTCTGAATGTTTTCTAGCAGCCATTTCTGTAAGAAAGAAGCGACAAAAAGTGAAATTTGAGTGCTAATACCATGTGCCTCCAATTTAGTGAACAACTAACAATATCTGTTGGCCAAAACATAAACTAAAGGCCTAATACTGTATATAATTTATTTTGATGTTTAAACGGGGAAAAAAATGCGCTCTTCAATAAAGGAAGAAAAACATATGCCAGCGGAAATCGCAGGATAAGCAAATTTTGCTACATTTGAGTTGGCAATGGAAATCACAGGATGATCGGCAAGAGGGTTAATGCTGTACTTGAATATAAGACCTCCCTAATTTTAGTTGTATTTTTATTATAAAATTTGGCAGGGTCTTTGTTTAAATGCTAAATAAGCCATACAATTAAATTACTGTAAACTGCATAGTTATTGTTAATTGTAATAGCAGCGTTGAGCAATTTCATTTTAGTCCTGTGTTCACTATACTTTCTTGGTATGGCTGAAAACAAATATCTGAAGTAATAATGCAACATAATCTTTCCTTTTTATATCATAGTAAATACCATATTTGATTAGGTAGCTTGCCTTTTATTTTAATGCAAAATGAATGTACTCTAATCAGAACTATGCTTTCATCAAGTATTCACTTGCATTTTTATTTTCTAAAATTTATCCTAAACTGTAAGGAGAGTGTTTTATTCAAGTGGGTCTTATTTTAGAGTAAATACAGTATTTTATAATGTTAGTGTGTTTAAACTATTAAAATCGGAGTTGCTTGCAGGTGATGAAATTTGGTATTAATTATATTAATGTTTTAAATTATTACATTAACATATCTGTGTAAGTGAACTTTCTGAGATTTATTTCTACACTTAAAAGAAGAAAAAATAGCAGGAAAGCAGAAAAATATCAAGGAAGTCACATTTAGCTTTAAAGAGATTGTCATTTGAATTTTTAGATGTTTAACTTATCAATTATTATCTATTTATATACAGTCAAAAGTCGTTAATTCGGACACCCATAATCCGGACCTCAAAGCTACAAACTTTCTGCGCATGCGCCGCGTTCACGCATGCCCACAGGCGTTTACGAGTGCGCGTAAGACCTTTACGGATGCGAATATGTTTTTGCGCATGCGCGTTTAATGTGTAACGAACGGTATAATCTAAGCAAAAATTATTTAATTCAGTTAATGTTGCAGATTGCGTTGTTCCTTAATCTTCGAATTGGATCCGGCTTATTATTTTTTGCGGACTGTTAGAGCAATTTCATAAAAGTAAGCTTGAACTTTCGATTATGTTAAATAGAATTTCCGATATATATTTACTAATATGTAATTTGTATCTACAAAGCGACAGTATGTTTTGAAATCTGAAATCTGTTTATCAATTTCACACCGCGGATTGGAAGTTGATCTGTCAGCACTATCCTTATCTTTAGAGCAGATGTTTTTATTTTATTTGGCTTATAATTCCTTACTAAGTGTATTATTTCATCTCGTTGTACTCCGTCTTTGATATGATTTAAATCAAGTTCCTCGTCATTATAATTCGCTTCCAATAGTGAAGAAAGTGACCCACAGGTTATTGAAAACGAAAACATTTCGATTGACAAATTAGTCGGTATTCTCAACACAGCAATTATAGGACTTGAACAGCGGAACTTTGTAACTAAACAAGAAATTATGTCTGTTTAATAGAATTAAAGAGAAAGTTTTATCACATGAAACGAAGCAACTTACATTAAAAGAAATGTTTAATAAAGTAAACAAATAAATATTAAGCTTTTTCTTTTTGTAAATTTTGATACCCTTTAGATCATAATTGTTCTTTATTTCATAAATTACGGTTTCATATTTTTAATTTTGTAATTTCTGCATGCCTTCTTACCAGATTTAAACTGATGATCTATAATCCGGAATCGCCGAAGTCCTGACGAGTCCGGATTAACGACTTTTGACTGTATTTACTTATCAATTGTTATTAAATTTTCTTAGAAACTGGTTTTAATGATTTTCCCAGCCAATTTAGATCCATTTTTGTTTTTCCTACTCCAAGAAGGTTCCTATAATAAGCCTGCATCTAATGTGGTCTAGGGTATAATTAATCCTCTAAAACGTAAGCTGATTTGCCAGGAAAAATACTATTACATATTTTTTTCCCTTATCAGGCATAAATTATACTCACCTTTGTTACAAATGTTGATAATGAAGCTGTTTTGAGCCAGTAAAAAGCAATGCAGTTTTGATATTTCCTTGATAGTACTTCCTCAAAAAATTTCCAAATAAATCGCATATATGAATTTATATATATACTGTGTAGCACAGTGTAGTTTAGTTTCATCTTGCAGGTTAGATTGTAGACCACAATGCTAAAAGTAACTTAGAAAATAACTTTTGCAACACTTATTTATGGGCAATGCTGAACTGCTTTCAGTTGCACCATTTTATAAAATGGATAAAATTATAAAAAGTTCTAGTTTAGTAATGTGCACATTAAATGTAAAGAGCACTACTACTAGCTTAAAATCATACATCATATCAATAATAAGATTTATTACAAAACACAGCAACCAATCACATGAGCGATAAGGAAGTAATTTTTCTTTCAAAGCCATCTCAACTTTTCCATCTTTCAACAACTCATGGGAACTGCCATGTCTACACAACTCGCCTTTGTTTGTTCACATTGTGCTTGGCATTTCAAAATACAAGAACTCCTCTGACTGGCCAGTTTCTGCTGGCTGTAAATGAAAGCATCTCAATGACTAGTTCATTGGAATCAGAATATGTCTTTCAATAAACTGAGCCACAGACAGTCAAACTTACGTAGCATGAGAGTTTTTTTTTTTTTTTTTTTTTTTTTTTTAATGTATAGTAGGTTCCTTTCTCTTTAATGTTCATCTCTGCTTTTACGCAGAGAAACTAAGAGTTGCTTGTAAAGTTAAAATTAGAGTACATCATGGGATTTAAAGAGGGAGGATTGTCATACAGTATTGCATTTAAACTTGCAAGTCGTGAATTATGTTTCAGAGCATGGTAATAGAGCAGCTGAAAGGCATTTTGGCACTGAGAAGATGGTACAAGAATGGAAGAAGCAGAAGAGGGATTTATTGAATGCAGATGGGAGTGAAAGGACTTTATGTTCATGTGCTCCTAAATGGCCAAAGCTTGAGAAACATGTTAAGGACTGCATAATAAATTGCAGAAAGAATGGGATATTGTTTCAACAAAAAGTATTTTGATTTAAATGAGGAAATTAGGGATATGTATGTCTATTGCCGATTTTTCTGGAATGGGGTCATGGTGCAAGGGATTCATGAAGAGAAATGGTCTGAGCTGTTGATGAAGTTTTTTCTATTTACACTAAAGACCAGTAAGTTTTTGGACACCTGTTATAGAAAAGAAAAACAAAATTTATTTATGTTCAATGATTGGTAGAATCTTCATGAGCAGCTATTACAGCCTCAACCCTGTGAGGCATGCTTTTCACAAGTCCTTGTGTAATAGATATTGGTATTTTTTTCCCACTCAGCTTGGAGAGAACATATAAGTTCTTTTACCGATGTTGGAGTGTTACCCCTTAGTTCAGTGATCCACCTCATCCCATAGTTCTCGATAGGGTTCACCTCTGCGCAGGACAGTTCATTCAGTTTAACCCCATTGTCAGCATACCAATCTGTGATGAACCTCGCAACATGACAGTTGGCAATGTCATCCTGAAAGTAATATGGGACCAACCCATAAAACTGCCACATCATAGGAAGCACACTGTCATCCAAATTTAGCCCCCCTTTTTTTACTATTATCGAGCTCCTGAACCTTGTAGAAGCCCTTTTCATAAACATTTGTAATATCGATAAACACTTTCACCCTGTAGAGTAGAGAAGAGAGACAAGCTCTGTGGCCAATAATCGCGAATAATGGTGTGCTTCACATGGACGACAGCATAACTTATATACCAGTTTTAAAAATTGTTAAAACATCTACTTTTAATAGTAAGTTTTGATTTAAATGCAATAAATATATGAAGTTCATTCTGTGTACATCATATATTTATAGATTTGAATTTTTCTCCTCTTCAGAACAATTTATAAATCTTGAAACATGAGACCTTCAAGGAAATTTATAATCAAGGAAATTTATAAATCTTGAAACATGAGAGAATAGATACATTAATTTAGTAGCTTTGAAATATTGAACATTGATAGAATTGTGCTGTGTTCTAGTATCAATAAAAAACACTAAAAGCTTAAGATTCCTCCTTTTAGTGCAAAAAATTAGCATTTCAGACATTAAAAAAATTGTTAAATTTCCATTATGTTTATTTATACCAGGGTCATCGAAGGGTTAATGAACATAAACAGACTGCTTTTAATGTTACAATATGGTTATTAGTGAAACCTTTTGTGATGTGCTTTTTATAATAAGTTTAACATTTGTATAAATATAAATATAGGAACAATTGATTTTTCAAGATTAAAAAATGACTAATTGCTCCATTTAAAACATTTTTTGTAAGTGAAATTATGTATGAAGAACCATTAGTTGTGAAAATATAGTTTGAATAAGGACATTTGCAGACATGGGGCATATACGTAGCGTATTCGGAAACTAAGTACCGTTTCATTCTAGCGCCGTCGCAGCGCTGTGGTAGGTGCACTAGTCTTTCTTGTTCACTGACTTTCAATTGTCGCCATTTTGGTTGCTCTATGTTGTGTTTTCAGTTTGCTGTGCACATTCAAAATGTTTAAGACAATTAGTTCTCCCGCTGACTGTGAGATTCGTGCCGTGATTAAATTTTTGAACGCGAGGAATGTTAAACCGGCCGAAATTTATCGTCAAGTGACAGAAGTTTACGGTGAATACGCGATAAGTGATGGAATGGTGAGAAAGTGGGTAAGAATTTTTAATTCAGGTCGAACAAATGTCCACGCCGAGGCTCGGGGTGGTCAGCCTTCTGTTGTCACCGATGATTTGGTAAGGAAAGTTGAAGCAATTCATGAGAATAGATGCTTCACAATGACAACTCTTTCAGAGGCATTTCCACAAATTTCACGTACTGTTTTGTTTGAAATTGTGTCTGACTGCTTGAATTATCGCAAACTATGTTCCCAATGGGTTCCAAAAATGCTCACTGATGTTCACAAAACAAAGCGACTTGGTAGTGCCGTGACATTTCTCACACAGTACAGTGATGAGGGAGAACTTTTTAAACCAAATTGTGACAGGTGATGAAACTTGGGTGTGTCATTTCACACCAGAATCGAAACAGCAATCGATGGAGTGGAGACACAACTCATTCTCCGAAAAAACAAAAGTTCAAAGTGACAATGTCATCACAAAAAATCATGTGCACTGTCTTCTGGGATAGGAATGGCATTTTGCTTACTGAATTTCTTCCCAGAATTATGCGGCACGATATTGTGAGACTTTAACAAAACTAAGGCGTGCCATTCAAAACAAACGAGGAGGAATGCTTAGTAAAGGAATTGTGTTGCTCCATGACAATGCTCGGCCCCATACTGCTGGTGTCACTCAATCGTTAATTCGACAGTTTCATTGGGAGGGAGCAGTTCGATCACCCGCCGTACAGCCCGGACTTGGCACCGTCCGACTATCACTTGTTCCTGCACATGAAGCTCGAGCTTGGTGGCAAGCGCTTTGGGTCTGACGATGACACAAAAAATGATGTGGAGTCGTGGTTATCGAAACTGGCGGGAAGTTTCTTTGACGATGGTATACACAAACTGGTCACCCGCTATGACAAGTGTTTGATCATTGGTGGAAACTATGTTGAAAAATAGTTTAAGACATGTATTTTCATGTAAAAATAAAATTGGATTCAAAAAAATTGTTTTACTATTTTTTTTCTTTCAAAACGGTACTTAGTTTCCGAATGCGCCTCGTATAAGTTGTTTGCATTAGGAATGTACGAGGGCTATCCAGAAAGTAGATTACGTTTTGGAATAAAAAAATAAACAAAGTATAGGAAACAATTTTATTATATACAGATGAAAGCCACACTCAAATACTACTTTTCTACATAGTCACCATACAAATTAAGGCATTTATCGTAGCGATGTACGAGCTTGGAAATTCCTTCGTCGAAAAATTCGGCCGCCTGCGCCTTCAACCACTTCGTTACCTCTTCTTGCAGCTGTGCGTCGTCATCAAAACGCTGCATAGCCAGCCACTTCTTCATTGCTGGGAATAGGTGGAAGTTGCTCGGTGCCAGGTCGGGACTGTACGGCAAGTGAGGAAACAACTCCCACTTAAAAGATTCAAGAACTTTACGAGTGACATTTGCCGTGTGGGGCCGGGCGTTGTCGTGAATCAACAAGATCTTAGAGCTCAACATTCCTCTGCACTTGTTTTGAATTGCTCTTCTGAGTTTTTGGAGAGTTTGGCAATACCTTTGAGAGTTTATTGTAGTGCCTCTTTCCAGGAAGTCCACCAAAATTACACCTTTTCTGTCCCAAAAAACAGTCGCCATCATCTTCCTTGCCGACATTGTTTGCATGCATTTCTTGGGTTTTTGGGGAGAACTTGTGTGCCCCCACTGCATTGATTGCAATTTCGTTTCACAGTTCACATGTTTCACCCATGTTTCGTCACCAGTAACGATGCGATCGAGTAAAGAGTCACCATCCTTATTGGTAAGCGTCCAAAAAGTTCAACGCTGCAGCCATTCGCTGATTTTTGTGGTCCTCTGTCAAGATTTTTGGAATCCATCTTGCACAAAACTTGTGGTAACCAAGCTTTTCGCTGATGATTTCGTGCAACAAACTTCGCGAAATTTGTGGAAAACTCAAAGAAAGTTCCGTTATTGTGAAATTTCGATTTTCACGGACTTTAGCATCGACTTTTTCGAGAAGTTCGGCGGTCACTATGCTGGGTCTGCCACTTCGATCTTCGTCGTGAACATTGGTTCGGCCATTTTTAAATCTTATGACCCACTGACGCACTCCACCTTCAGTGATAATGTTGTCCCCATACACTTCACGAAGCTGCCGATAGATTTCTATCGGTTTACAGTTTTTTGCAGTCAGAAACCTTATTACTGAGCGCACCTCGCAGCTCGCGGGATTTTCAATTAACGCAGACATTTCAAACCGTCACAGTATCTGAACGGAGCATAGCACGAACCTCTCACTAGCACGGCTAGATGCAGACTGAGCTGCGCAACGCTCTGACCGCAAGATGGCCGCGCTAGCCCCGCCCCTAGCGGACACAGACGGAAACGTAATCTACTTCCTGGATGGCCCTCGTATTTTGCTAGTTTTAAACAATTTTTGAAAGCAATTAAAAGTAATGTGAAGAGTTAATAAAAGTGATGTATATACTGACTTATGTGTAACTGTCAAGCAACTGAAAATCATTGACCTTTCTTGAGAAAAGTATATTTTAATCAAGAGTAGGAATACTGAATTTACACCATGGAAGATAAGTTGCAGGATGATTCTTAAAAAGCATGAAATGAAACCATAGAAACGCATTAACAGTATTTTTCAGAGAATGATATAATTTTTGTTAAAATGATATTTGGGATGCCTTTGTAACAGTGTGGGTAGCTTTGTGCAAGTCAGCCACTGTTGAAAAGATAAAAACAGTCATTAGGATGCTGTAGCATGAAGGGGCTTACACTCAAAATGGATATTATATAACTGTTATCTTTTTTCAATAGTGCCTTTTATACAGTTATAAACAAATGCTTTATTTTGTATTGCAGTTGCTTAACAGATTTTATGAAGATGAAGAAGAATCTAAAGATGCTCAAATAATTAATGTAAAAGCTATGTATAAGTACCTTATGGACTGTATGGCAGGGGAAGTTCCAGCTGTCTTGCCACCTAAAGAGAGCAAGCTTCTTTTGATCTTAATGAAGCAACTGAAGGATGTACCGAATAAATTTGATTTTCAAGAAGAGATGGATTTTATGAGGAGTATGTATAAACATGTTTATTCTCATTCATGAGTTGCAAAATAACTTTCCCTTTAGACCAGTATTTGTAACAACTTTTGAATTTTATGAATTTTTGTTGTTTATGCAATACAAAATAATAATTAAGAAGATTATTAATGGTATATTAATTACATCTAAAGAGACCAATGACTTCTAACTTATCAAACTGTTCATGCCATTTTGGCAAAATCTTTACTTTTGAAGATGAGGGACATGTGTCTGATTGCCTTCAAAATCATTCGGTCAGATTTATTGAAAACTTATGCCAAATTAAGTTGGCCCCCCTTTTTTACCTGATTTAGAATTTTATATTCTAATGTGTATCTTCCAATTTGATGTAAGCCATGCTTCACTATTATTACAAATTTTGTAGATATGTAAATAATTTTAGTGAAATTAAATGTAAATTGTAATTATCTCTTGTATAATGTAACACGAAAGACTTCAAAAGTGTGAAACTTCGCTGGAAAAATAAAATTACAGGGACTTAATTATGGTTACAGGGTCCATGTAACTTTGATATAAATAGCTTGGCTATCTTGCCAAGCTGGCGACTAATTTTTGTTGACAAATTTGGCAAGAAATTGCCAGAAGTCACCAAACTAGGTGACTATTGGTGATATTTCGGTCTGATCCCTATATGTAACTACAAATGTATCTGGCCTTATTAGTAACTGTAACAATTGCTGCAATGACTGAAAATTTCTCAGTGGACTGGAGAAAAAACTATGTAAGATTGGAGAGAGCATCAGTTCAGTTCAGTTCAGTTCAGATTTGAGTTTAGGGTTTAGCTTAGAGTATTGAGAGATCACTCTGCAAGCTTATGCATTAAGGTTTTTTGTATTGGCTTGTGATAAAAATTCTTGGTAGTTTGTAATCGTAATTATTGTGTATGCTGTCATACTGAGAAGAGTACAAATACTGCTGGAGTAAGGATCAGCAATTAATCATCGTATTTGTGCTTTGTGAAAAGAAATCAATGCTTTTCATATTGAGATTTTCTACAGCACTTAATTATTATTCAAATTTTAATGAGAATTTCTGGATTTTTTAAAAAAAATAACCACTGTTAAAAAACAGCTGATTTATAATGAAATTTATTAACAAAACTTGAGTTTTGGGGATTTCAACTTTTGTTCAAATTTAACTGAAAGGCTGAATTATATATATGAGTTCACCATATATGTATTTTTTCGTGTACTATAAATATAAATAAAAGTACTGAATAATGAAAATTAAGATCATGTTCTTAAAACTGTGTTATTTTATATAATTCTTTTAAAATTGTCTTAGGAGACCTGCCTACTTTATCAGCCGAGACTTCAATTTGACACTTGACTCCTATGTATGCCGTTAAATCTCTCTAAGATGTAGATTGTATGACATCTACATACAATGTTTGTAAAATAAATCCTTCTTTAATAAAAGGAAGTACACCTTTTTGTTCTTAAAATAATAGATACCTTTCTTTCAAAACAGATTTTAATTGATTATGTATCTAAATTTTTAGTCTTGATATTGTTATTTCTTTATTCTTGGATATAAGAAAGAATATTCATTTAAAATGAATATTTTAAATAAAATTAAAAAGAAAAATAATATCATTTATGTTGCTCTGTTTCTTCTTAATCTATATTTTCTTAGAAAAAAAAGGGGTGGAGCCAAAGTCTTAATTATATTATACACTTTTGAGTCCATCCATTTTATATCAGTTTATCTTATAATTCAAAAGTAATAAATCAATTTTAATTAGTTATTACAAGCTGCAAGACATTAAAAATTATAAAATATAAATTTTTGAAGTATTTGCCATTAACATGTTATCTAACTCTAATATTTAAATTTGTTTTTTATATTTTTGAACTATAATAAAAATCTAGCCCCCTTTAAAAAAAACTTGCTTATACTCTTATTTGATGTTTTCATAGCTAAAAATTCCTTTTCTATTAGCTTTTATGCACATTGTATTTTAAAGATTTTGATACTTTGATGTTTTAATATATATATTTTTTTTTCTCTTCCAGAATATAGGCAAGCTACATCATTCACCCCTTTTAAGGTGAAAGATGAATTTAAGAAGCAAGCTGGATGTAAGTTATCACTATTTATTTATCTTTTAAAAACCATTATTTATGATGTATGCCAATGCTTTAGGTCATTAATTTGAATCAGAACTTCATTAGTATTACAATGTTTAATTTTTTAATTCATTAAAAATTAAATACTTCTATATTAAAATAAGATAGTGACTTATAATAAAATGAAATACTGACTTTTTTAAGTTTTCGTTTTATGTTAGAAATTTATCAATAAAATTATACATTAGTGTGTTATAAAAAGAATTCTTAACAAAGATCATGCAAACTCTAAATATTCTGATATTTTGCCTGAAAGCAACTTTTTCGTACTTTAAAAAGTGGGGAGAGTCTGATTTGAGTACTAACATAACCAACTTGGTGATATTTACAGAAGAATAATGACTTATAACTGAAAAAATATTTATTACTTACATATTTTACTTCTTAATTAGGTATTTATCATAAATGTCAATCAGTAAAACTACTTACATGTGGGTTTCTGTTTCTTTTTATTCTGGTGGAAATGTCATTCTCTTAAGCATAAAAATTCATTACTTTGAGATGATATTCAGAGCATTGTTTCCTTTAGCAACTTTACAGCAAAATATGTACTCCTGCAAACATTTTACTGCAGTTTCTTCAGTTTCATACAAACCCGCACTTATATTTTAAAAATTGAAATTAAGTTTGCAAAGTATCTTAATTTGTACATAAAAACTTTTGAAATTTGGAACATAAACAAAAAGAATGTGCACAAAAATAACAACAACTGATAATACACAGCCGTTAACCTAACATTTATTTGAGCTTAAAATTGGCAGTTATTTTTAGCAACTTTGCAGAAAAATATGTACTCCTACAAAAATTTTATTGCAATTTCTTCAGTTTCATACAAACTCACAAGTGGATTTGAGCTTAAGATTACAAAGTATTTTGATTTGTCCATGAAAACCACTGAAATTTGGAACACATCAAAAAGAGTGTGCACGAAAATAACAACTAACAGCTGACAATACACACTGAGCCATTAACCTAACATTTATTCGAGCTTAAATAATTTTAAATAAAAGAATTCTGTGATATTTTAAGGAAATCTGTGGTGAGGGATCCATGTCTTATCACTCTTGAAATTAACAGAGTTTATTCAAAATCGATGCCAGTCTAAGATTGTTCCCCCCCCTACATTTAGATTTTATGATTGTATATTTCTCTTAATAAAAATCTGTTTTGATTTATGATGCCTGTGCCCTTTCATACACTCTTTTTTATTATGTGTTTTTACTCCAGTTTCCTAAAATCCCTACTTAAATTGTTGTATGTTGATAATGCATTTCCTGCTCTTAACTTCTATCACAATGTGAAATCAAAATAATACTTATCTCTATATTATTGATTGAAAATACATGTGAAATTTTATTATTTAATTATAAATAACAATTATAAATAAACCAGCAATATATCTGCACAAATAATTTTTTGTTCATATTCTTCCCAATGATTTTTATATTTAGTAAAAAGTTGAAGTTACTTTTTACTAAAAGTTATATCCAAGCTCTGTATTTTCTTTTTTTCATGCAAATTCTGGACAGATTAATTTTATTTCAGGTTCATATGAAGATCAAGCTAAACTTGACCCAAATTCCATTCCAATTCCTGAAGATTTATATGCCGTTATCAGCAGGCATAAAAAGGTTGTGCAAAGCTTCAATCCATTGATGGTTCCTCTCTGGATGCTGAGCAAAGAACAAGGTTATTTTAAGAAAATTTTTAACATAAGCAAAAGCAACAGAGATCTAAGTGCAAACATATATTAATAAGTGTTCTTTAATATTGTAACTCCAGTACTTGTACAAATATACATTAGTAATATAAAAGTCATATTTTCAGAAATTTTCAAGTCTGTTTCAGTTGAACTTTATTTTTGCAAGTTTGCTTATGCACTACTCAGAAAGTTCTAAATTCACATCCAAAAGCTTCATTTTGATACATTAACACGTTGATTTCCGTGAGGGTCACTGGTGACCGGCACTCGACTTGGCTACAACGATGTGGCGGCCACTGGCGACTCGACCGATAGTAAAATACATAATTAGAGTAAATATCAATGCTGATAAATTTTTAAATAGTACCATTGTTACAATAATGGTTTGAAGAATAACAAATCTTGAAAATTAAAATTTTAAATCACAAAAATGGTCTACAGTGCCTTGGAGGGTCATGAGTGACCCCCACCACGAAAAATGCATTAAGCACGATTGTATAACTCCCATTATCTTCTGTAGATAATATTTCAACATAATAAAAATTTCAAGTTGGAGTCATGGACAAACCACATCAAATGCACGCAGCAGTTAACTTGTCAAAATGTAAGAGAAATGCTCAATATTGATATTATTGTATATAACATATATATATTACAGTTTTGTAATCAGACCATTATTTTTAGTTACCATCTGAAATCGCAAACAGTTAACTGAAGCGTGTGCTGGGAAATTTTCAGCATGAAATGCTAGCTTTAAGATCAGGTAAAGTTCTTGGATTTTCATGACTTACCAGATGTTTCAAATGTCCCCAAAGCCAAAAATCATATGGATTGATGTCTGGGGATCGTGGAGGCCACAGATTATGAAGTGGCAACTGAAGAAAACGTTTTTCTGTAACACGACATTTAAGAGTATTCGTAATACACCCTACAACTTGTGGAGGAGCTCCATCTTGTATAAAAATACTGCGTGCAAGGCACTGATGTGCGTGCAGGATTTTGAATGCCTATTGTTGCCTGGTGATAGAGCATATCACTGGATCTGTGGAACTTAGCTCCTCGAAGAAGTACGAGCCAAGAATAAATGACGCAGAAAATCCACACCATCTTTTTTAGTGAATGCAATAGAAGCTCTTAAGACAGGGCTCGGATTTTCAGATTCCCTAATTCAGCAGTTGTGAGTATTCATTGCATTGTCCAAATGAAAATATGCTTTGCCCACATAGAGGATATTCCAAGGCCATTCTGAATTGACCTTAAAGCAAGCAAGAAACTGGAGTCTAGCGTCCAAAATTTCCAAGAGATCTAATGTCCGAAATTTCCATAGAGCAGATTGCTGTTTTAGTAAAACAATTTTACTAACAAAACAAGATCTCGTCAATTTATTATTGTGAGCAAGAAGCACATTGAAAAAAAGTCTCCGAAAATGTTTCTAGGTTTTTATAACAGCTGCTGAATGACATCGTCTAAAATTTACATTTTTACTGCAGGCTTTCAAAGTAAAAAGCCTTCTGGTGACGCTATTTGTAATATTTTTTCACTGGAAGAATTTCATAAAGTCCATTACAAAATTTCACTTATTTTCTGATCACTAGTTTCGCTTGTAGGCAGCTTTGAAATAATGTTCTTTAATTATACACACCTTGTATTTTGTAAAACCTTAATGAATTTTTGATTAAAAAAACTAAACTATTTCAAGCAAGCAGTGGGAACATTATAGGGAATAAAACATTTTTATCTCCAGAGACTGTAATCAGAATCCAAAAGAAAGCAGTTTTTAAATATTTTGAGCCCAAATGCTCTTGAAATGTGTATACATTTGTAAATGAGGGGAGGGGATACTTGCTTGGGTGTAATATACAAGGGGTGATGAAATAAAGAGGTACGAAACGACGTAAAAACGTAACAGTTAAATATTTGCATATTCCGCCATGGGAGAACGGGTCGAGACATCTTGGGATGCGATTGGAGTCTCTGATTGGATCGGAGAGGCAGGAAAAAGCACAGCTCTTATCAAAGGGCGTCCAATGCTGGCAGTCCGTCAGGCCAGGTGGCTTAACATTGCAAATTCGACGACTGAGGGCAAAGGCGTTATCCATTGACCGCGGAGGGAGAAACGGATGGTGACAGTTTACGGAGAGAAATGTCGTCTCTGACATCTGTCAGAAAAAAGGAGGTCGTTTTCGTGCAGGCCGTGAGAGTGTGGGTGATGACCTAAAACCAGGCCAGGTAAACATTGTCATCACAAGCGATCTCATCGACAAAGTGGACGACCTAGTGAGAAGCGATCGGCGAGTCACATTGTGAATGTTGGCGGTGAAGGTGGATGTCAGCTATGGAACCGTATGGACAATTGTTCACAACAGGTTGCAATATCGGAAGGTGTGTGCCACTTGGGTTCCGAAGCAACTCAGTGACCAGCAAAAGGAAACACGTATAGGGCTAGCACTGCACAAGCATGGTCGTCACCTCCCCTAAAAGTTCAAAGCCGTGCGTAAGCGGCAGGGTGCTTTCCGCGTCAAGGTCGCTACTTGTGAATCCTCGAGCACAAAAAAAAAAAAAAAAACATTAACTCCGATGTGTACTGTGAGACATCGAGGCCTATGCAGGCCATTAACTGCGTATCTTCGGATGGGGAATGTCACAGGGTGTGGTTGCGCTATGATAACGCAGTCTACCCGTTCCGAGCACACACATGGAATGGCCAGTTCAAGTGGGAGACATTGGATACCTGCCGACAGTCGACATGTGCCTGCGATTTCAGGTTTGTCACTGAGCAACACTGAAAGGAAGCATACATCGGAGACGTACTCAAGGACGCGTGAAGGAATGGTCTCGTCACGGCCACAGGATTCTGGGAACAAGGAACCCGGGCGGTTCATCATGGATCGTGTGCTAGGCTCTGGTATATTTTGAATAAAGTCTACATTTGTACCCACCGTGTCGTCCTTGAAATTTTAAGATTCCTATATCATTTAATTTGAATTTCATAAAACAATAACATACTCTAGGTTGACATGCTGAAACCACATTTTTGGCTAACAATATAACATAATTAAATCTGTTTATCAAGTTTGATTGAAGGTTACGATCTTACCTGAGCCTTAGGTTAAGCTTTAAAAATCAGAGAATTTTTTATGTGTAATTTATCAGTTTTATACTTAAGTTTTAAATCATTTTATCCTTATCATGTAGTATTCTATTCCTAATTATTCATTTCTTTCAAGGAAAAAGATAAAGAATGTAAAAACATCACCTTTTCATGTATATTAAATTCTGAATCAGAGTAACTTCTCAGACTCTTTCATTTACATAATTTGGTGTATTAAATAAGAAAATTTTATTTAATAATAATTAAAGTTATAGTTATAACTATTAAATAATAATAAGATAGTGTGACCTTCTTTCCAAATATAATGGTTTATCAGCAGCCACACAGATAAGATTATTAATCATTACAAGTTCTCGGCAGTGGATTTTAGAAGTTGCAATAATTTTCTCTTTAGAATATCCTTTATGAAATTATTCTTCTAAATCAGAGTTTTTCAGCAATTTACTACCATAAAATACTCATTACCATAACAAAAATTTTATACTTGAATAATGCAAAACAATATAATAATTGTGATTTTTATAGAAACAGTTACATATTATTTAAATAATTTGTTATCTCAAATTCAAATTAGTTTATAGTCACTAATGGCAATGATTAGTAAAAATTATGAGACAGATTTGTATCTTGGAAAAAATTATTATTTTAACTTTAAATAGTGAATGACAGAAATTAAAAAATTTCTAATTCAATTATTTAAGGTATGGCAGATCATCAATGTATTACCCAGCATGGATTTTTTTCCTATGGGGGGGGGCTAGTAAATAATAATGAGTGAATTAGATATCTTGTTCAACACTACCATTACAGCATTTTTGGTTTACTTTTATCTATAGTAGGCAGTCATTTTGATCCCACCTTAATTAATGGAAAAAATCTGGCATTTTAAGGTTTTTTTAAATGAAATATGTTATAATTAAATTTGTTCAATTAATTTTGTTTACAGATAAAAAGTATTTTGATTTTACATCAGCTAAAAGCCAAAATTTTCTGCCGATTTACATGTTTTTTTTTTTTTTTGCATAGGTGAATAAAGAGGCTTCTCGCTTTGTAGGAATTATTTTTCATCAATTGTAATATTTTCGTCTGCTTCATAACACAATAAACAATTCTTAATAAAGGCATTCCAAACCTTTGAAGCAAGATCTAAAGGATTATTTTGTAATCTTTGTGATTTCAATATGCAAATATTTCATTATTTTCAAGAATCTGCCCCAAGCATTATTTCTCTAAATTTCAGGCCCCGGGATTTTGACCAGAAATTCCGAGCCACAAGCAAAAAGCAGCTAAATTTTTGACTTTGAATTAAAGATTTTTTGCAATGCCTTTGCTTCAGCACATTGCTGTATATGATGCAATATTTGTTATTCATAAAAAGTCTCCATGTCTTACTTAAGTTCCCATGAATTACTTTTCTCTTAGCAATTGTAGTTGGGAAAACATTTTGAAGAGGAAGTCTTTTAAGTGTATTTGCTGAAATAATTTCCTTTTTCCATACTGCATAATTTGCTGTTTATTCATCTTTTGATCAATTTTCTTCATTTTCAAATTATCTAATTTTCCTTCATTTTCTTATGGACTATGGCTTATTCCATTCCTTTTTGTCGGACAACTACTTCCATGTCCTCTACTAAATTCTCATGCAAGGTTGAATCGTTAACTTCCACGACTACCTTTTTGTAAAATTTTTTATTTTTGGAATCGATATGATATGGAAATTATGAAGGAATCAAGAGTTTGTACACATTTCTGCATATGAAAATTAAGTACTTTTAAGGACCAAAGGGAAAAATAAAGGACCTAACAAGCAAATAGGAACTGAATGAACTATAGCAATTATCTACACATGAACTTCACTTCTGTAATTTGAAAGAATAAAATACATCTCCACGGTAAGGATTACAGGAAATATGATAACCTGCTTTAACACTTAGAGATAACTTCTAAGGGTGAGCAGTTAGTTGCAAATAATAAAATAAAGTAGTTAGCTTTAGTAAATTATGTAGTTAACTTCACATACTCA